GAGTTATTTTCTGACGAGGTTAGTTTTCTTCATCGGTGGGAAACTCGGTGACCTAATGGTTAGTGGGCTGGACTCCTGACCGAGAAGTCCGTCCAGACTTGTCCCGGTTTTTTTTCTTGTGTTCTTGGACAAGACATAATGCCTCTCACAGCGTGCCACATTACTGCCCTCCATCGGGGAGTACTAATGAGTACCGAAGAATCATTAGGGAAGCCTTATGAAATACACGGGGTTACCTTGCGATCGAGTAGCATCCCATTCTGTTGACAGTAGAAACAGTCTTGGTCGCTTAATGCCATGGAAAGCGGGATGAGCTTAACCTGGATGGGCCACTTTACTTTTACTACCTGTAACAATACAAAACACAATTACCAACCCAACTCGTTGAGTATCAATTTACTATTATGAATCTCTATCCATCAACTTTGGCAAGAATACTGTTCAGGGTAACGTCCTTTTCCGTGGTGCATCTTTGCTCGTGGAGATTTTCTTAAGCTTCACATTTGTACGATGACAGGAGTATTTGGATTGGTTTCATAAAAAAGACCATGTAGTTGTTCATCAAGTCAGTAATCCAAAGTATATTACAGCTCCTCGAATTTTGTAGTTATCACGATTTACGATCAAAGTTCGGACAATTTTTAACTTTAGGTTTAATTTTAAAACTAATTGTATCTTCTCCTCATTCTGGATCCATAGGGAATGAAAAACACTACGGCATTTTGGAACTGGACTCGACAAAAACTAGTGCCAGGCCTCTTCTTATCAGACTGGTATAATGGAAAGCAGGTTAATTTAAATGAAGGTTTCATTAGCAGTGGGTATCCTTTCCTCGTTGGTATGCCCAGGCTCCGGCAGATTAGAGTGAAAGCGGGTACGTGTAAGAATTTAAGACTTTTTAGGGGTATGCGGTTCAAGGAAAGGACTTGTTAGGAGTCTAAGGCAGCACTTAGCGTGGTTGAGAGGGTATGGTTCTTATGTCTGAGAGCTGGCTTGTGCAACCTCAAAGCTGTCTGTGGCAGTTTAGGGCACCAATCGCTAATAAGGTATCGAGCTTGAATTGAGCATGAATAGGTGCTAGTCTAGGAACATGCTTTGCTCTCTTGCCACCTCCAGGCAAGCCAGCTCATGATTAAAGTATTTTTAGATACAAATAAGAAACAGTGCTAAGTAATCGTTGGCGTCTTGAAAAGGAAACCGATCTTCAATAATCGATCCAAAAACTCTAACGGATGGGCAATGTATTTTCATCTCGACCAAAGGATTTGCTGTCATATACAGACGTTTGGGCATGAAGGTTGATTGTGTAATAGTTGATCGAACTAGAGGATAAGCCAGCTTTCAGGAAGGTTACATGAGGGTTTTTTTATTCTTTATTCCTTGCAGAATCATGTTTGACGGATGATTACATTAAGACGGAGCGATGCTTGTCATATTATAGCTCTCATTCAGAAGACAAGACGACGTACAATCTCCGTGACTGGACACCAATCTATAACATCAGCGAGTTTGAAGCTTCATTTGATAACGTATGCCCTAAACCCTGGCGATACAGGACAGCACATGCCTTGGAAGCACTCCCCTTTAACGGGTTCTACGCCACTTACGATGGTGGAGGCTATGTCGCTGATCTTGGCTATAATGCTGAATCAGCTTTAGGGGTAATCGATGACCTAGAAAACAACGATTGGATTGATTTTAGAACATTTGCAGTATTTGTCGAGTTCACCGTTTATGAGCCCTCAAGTACACTTTTCAGCCCAGCAAAGTACTTGTTTGAGAGGTATCCAACAGGAGGCTCCAAGATGAGCACCAGAATTGACACCCTAATGATTTTTTACCCTACAGACCCTGCTTTTCGGTCGTTTTATTTGGCTTGTTACTTTCTATTAATTGTTTTCCTTCTTGGATTACTTTTAATGGAGATTTTTAAACTTTTTAATCAAGGATGGAGGTACGTAACACATTTCTGGAACTTGATCGATGTTTTTCAAGTTATCAGTGCTGCAGCTGCATTGGTCTCCTTTTTCTTTAAGGCCAAGTATACCAGTAATTTTGTAAAGCGTGTTAGGGAGAATCCGTTCGCGACATCAAGCTCGGACTACATTGTCCTGTGGTGTGCTGTAGAAACGTGGCTGCTGTCTCTAGTCGTCTTCGTTGTTACCGTGAAATTTCTGAGGTTGCTAAAATTCAATGATCATATCTGTCACTTCGCGTACACTGTGAAATCAGCATTTAAGCATCTATTTTCGTACTCAATGGTGTTCGCAGCTGCAATCCTCGCATACACACAGCTCGGTACTCTTCTCTTCGGAAGCAATGTGTCAGCCTACTCAAATCTGACGAAATCCCTCATCATGCTCTTAGAAAGGCTCCTGGGTAATAACATGTACACAAATGAGCTTAAAGCAGCCAACCAAGTAATGGCTCAATTATTTACCTTTGGGTATTCGTTATCTATTGCAATGATATTACTGGACATGTTTTTTAGTATTCTCCACAGTTCGTATTGCCAGCTAAGGCGTCTTAAACAAGGGCGTTTTCCTGACGTTGAATTAGCTCGGTTTGCTTGGCGCTATTTCATGGAAAAAGCTAGGATTTTTTGGTATGACACTAAACACTCAACAAAAGAAAATAAGCTCAGAAGACTACGATTTAATAAGAGGCAAGCAGAAGTCGTCGGCTTTTTGGATAAGGACTCCGAATTTGACGACGAAGCAGCTGAAGAGTACATCTGCTTGCCATCCGAAGACGTAAGATTCGAAGAGGTGGTTTTAGAGAAAATAGAAGATATTGATTTGGTGGATGAGTACAACTCGCTAAAAGAGGTGAGAAAAACTCTGCTTCAAATAGGAGCAAATTTCTTTCTTACACAAAATGAGTGGAGTTCTGGTAGCATAAATGAGGAGGGCGA